AGAAAGACAAAGGCAACAAGCTAGAACCATAATCTGGTTACAATGGGGAATTGTAGAAAAAAAACAAATATATAAACTGTTTCGTGTGGGCTTTCACCCAACTAAAAGAAGTCAGATAAGCAATTGACAAATGGAAGGTGAAGGCGTATTAACAAATAGAGTGAATGTGAGTAGTCTGGTCAGTATCCTAAGGTGGGGAAGGGGGGGGAGGAATAAAAAAAGGGGGGGGGGGGTAGTGCAGAAGACACAAAAGGGGGACAAGGCCCCCGGGGTATGTTGACCGGCTCTACCACCAGGTGAGGAGACCAGGATGGAGGTCTCCGAAACTCAAATGAGGCAGAAGCCTAGGACAGGTCATTCAGGGCAGGCAATGTTGTTTATAGAGGTCTGAGTCCTTAAATAAGAACCATCTCGTCCAGGTAGAAATGTGTGAGGACATAGTTTCTTTTGGTCTTGTGCACCAGTTTTTCCATCTCTCCCACCTGATCAATGCGACGAAACCATTCAGAGTCAATTTCTCAGTAATACCCCAAAAACCCAAACTCTGTATACTTTACATCAATACCACACTCAAGTGTTTCAGCAAAATGACACTTGTATCTCTTTGTAGCACCATATTCAAATAAGTGATATTAACATTCAGTTTTATGAAGAAGGCTTGTTTTGAAAGCTTGCATTTCCAGTCTAATGAGTTAAAAGAATTCCAATGATGGCATTTTTTCATAGTTACATTGGCCCAGCCTGGACCAATGAAACTATGCATATCCTATACCTAACCAATCCCTGTAGAAGCTGGAAATCAATGTAGTAGACACCGATACTCCAGTGATCTCCATTAGCTTCCAGGTTCTGTGCCGAGCCGCTGCCTGCTGCATTCTCAATGCAGGAAGTCGGCCACTTGGCAGAAATGCCATTATGAGCATGCTTTCCATTTTCTCAATGAATGCAAAGCATTCTTTGATTGAACGAGATGGAGAGAGTAATGTCTTGCCTTGCCAACTCCACCCATTCCACTGGAGTAGCAGTGTCTTCTACAGCAATATCCAGCTTCTAGAGCAGCCTTTCCCAACCTTTTTAAAATGGAGAAACCCTTGAAATAACTTTCCGGTCTCATGAAACTCCAGCTAATAACTACTATATAAAATTCCTCCTTTATGGATTATTAAAAAGATCATTGTTGTCAGTGACCATTCATCTGAGAGTCAGAAACTGCTTGTTGCTCAAGGAACCCCTAACAACCTCTGGAGAAACCCTCAGGTTCTTGGAACCCTGGTTGAAAAAGGCTGTTCTAGACTGATCCCACAGGTATGGTATATGCATAGTTACACTCGTCCAAGCTGATTGTAAAAAATGCCACAATTGCAAGGCATCTTTAACTAATGAATGATATAGATTTAGCTCCAAGTATTCTGGTTTCACCAATAGATAACATGGTGTAAATCTCTGCTGCTACACAACATGTAAACTGAAATTCTTACAAAGGGCAACACAAGAATTTGTCTTATATTGTGTCGTATGTGTGCAAATAGTTCATCCCATGGAAATAGTGCTGTTATACAAAATGCCCCTGTGCCATCACCAAAAATCTATGAAAAATATTATGTAATCATTGACAAGACCAATGGTTCCATCCAAAGCAGTGGTATATACCTGCACCAATCCCTTAAAGTGGTTCTAAAGGCTAGACATTTTTTTATCTTAATGCATCCCCTGCATTAAGGTAAAAAATATCCCAGTAGTAGTATCGCCCCCTCACATCCCTATATACTTACTTTGAGTGATCACACGAGCACTGTGCCTGTCTGTAGCGGCTCTCTTCCTGCTCTCACAGGCTTTGCTTGGGCAGTGGAAATGGGGGTGCACTGAGAAGAGGAGGAACCCCAAAAAGAGGAGGTTCAGGGCTGCCCTGTGCAATACCATTTCACAGAGCAGGTAAGTATAACATGTTTGTTATTTAAAAAAAAAAACGTATTCTTTACAACCACCTTAAATTGCCCATGTACATGTGTATGGCTTGGTATGTTTTCAATACATTGCCCGAATGAGTATGATAGCTTCATGAAAATTCAGAATATCCACATTTTGTATGGTAAACAGAGTTACCTTACTGATATTGCTGGTAAATGGTGAAACAAAAGTTTCTTCGGACCGCACATTACTGTAAATGGGCAGTTCATGGCAAAATAATGTCTCATCTTACTGTTAAAAATGAGGAATAGCTTGCTAAGAAATAGATAAAGAGTGGGCACTGACAAAATGGATATTTGCGGTAAGATTTACATTTTTATAGTGCTCTGAATTTAGGCAAAAGGTGTTTATCACTTCCTTTCATTTTACTGAGAACAAAAAACAGAAAGCTACATAGTATTTTTCTTTCCACCGTAGATTTAGGTTGAACTTAAAAGTTTACAATAAAAATATAGTACGATCATTAAAGTGTTACTAAACTCACAACAGTAAAACCAATCTGTATATGCAGTAAAGCATGCTTGCTATACTTACTGTGGAACCTGTCTTCTTTGCTCCTCCCCTCCTTCCACAGTCCCCAATCCATCTGCTGATAGAACAGAGTCCTAGGACACTCTGCACATGTTCAGTTTGGTGTGTATTGCTAGAGTTTTTTTTTTTTTTTGGGGGGGGGGGGAGCTGCTTGTGATTGGCACAGGGCCAGTCAGCACTGTCCAGTCAGAGGGTCAGGGGTCCTGCAGCCTCACAGGACAGTTAGAGGAGAATGAAAACTCCTCCTAAAAGCTTTAACCGGTGCTTGTCCAGATACTGATAGTAGTCGCAAGACTGCTATATACTGCTGATGAGAAAAGGTATTTAGCAGTTTAAATTTAATAAAATAATTGCATTTCCATGTTTTGTGTACTGTGGAAGGATATAGTGAATGCAGGGCCCTGGGTTTAGTAACACTTTAACTTAGTTGTATAGCAATTATAAACCATTTGTGTAGTTTAAAGCAAAACTTTACTCTCGCAGTGAACATTACCTATTTTTATTGCTTATGCTGTTAGAATTAGTAAATAGATAGAAAGGTATATTACATTAACTTGTGCCGTAGAACCCAGAAGTCTTAATGAGCATTTTTCATCTGGGGAAGGGGGGGGGGGGCTTTTTCAGCTAAGCACGTCATCCTACCTGCATGCCTGATCTAAGTTCAAATGAATTCCAGGAAGTAAATGCAACATGAATCATCTGCCCTTACTCAAGATGGCTGCAGTTAGAAATGCTAGAGGGTGTTTTTCAAAGCGATTTCTCAACAAACTAACGCATGGAGACATGGATGGATAGGTTTGCTTTCTATATTAAAAATTAAATAAGTAGCATTTTTGTTTGTGCTACAGTGTGAACCGGCCCTGAAAGTTAGGTTTTATATAAACAGAATTCCCTATTCTGTCTCCTAGGACTATTCAAACCATATATTTTTTTCAGAAGTACAGGTGTTTTATAAAGCACCAGCCTTAGCATGAACTAGTAGAGCAAATTGAAAATCCCAACCACAATAATCATTCATGTAAATCTTTTCATCTTTCATTTGCATTGCAATCATCTGTAACTGTAGGTTGCTTCAGTTGTCCTATGAACACTCACTGCAATTCAGCAACCGGCCACCAGACTTGATAAGGTGGGGGGGGGGGGGGGGGGTACAGGAACCTTGGTGCATGACCATGAAAAAAATACTGCTGGAAAATCTCTGGATTGAATATTGCAGAATAGGCTGGTTTTGTTATTCTATATGTTTTAATGGACTATTCATTTTTATCTTGTTATTTTTGGCTAGAGTTCTGCTTTAGCTGTACGAATCCAGTGTCTGTATGTGTGAGTGTGTAAATCTCTGTATCCTGTAATTCAATAACATAGTTGATTAGCAGAGATAAAATATGGATTAGATTTAAAAACTAGAAACTATAAAAAAAAAAATAGGATATATAATATCACAGAAATGCATACTGAGAGCTTTTATACAGGTTATAAAATATAAATTCTGAACTCAGTCTGTCCAAGGGTTGGACAAGGTAACAGAAACACCACATGAAAAAGGGGTTTATAGAACATATAGAGAACAATTCTACCTTTCAAAATAGTTTTAATTCTGTACAGCCACTTTTGTGATTTACACACCTTGCCCAATTCTGTAGTCAGCAATTTGACACAGCTATGGGCTCACAATGCATAACTTTCAGGTTAAAGTCTTTTGTGCAGCAGTTCAGGCAGATAATAATAAAATATACTCCAGGTAATTTTAGAATAAGTTTTAGTGATTTTTTTAATTTAAATATATTACTTGATAAATTCATGTTTTATTTCCTGGAGCTACAATTTTAATGTCCTCTCCATATTTAACCACTAGCCTACTGGGCACTTCTACCCCCTTCCCTGCCCAGGCCAATTTTCAGCTTTCAGCGTGGTTGCACTTTGAATGACAATTGCGTGGTCATGCAACACTGTACCCATATGAAACTTTTTTTGAGACAGATAGAGCTTTCTTTTGGTGGTATTTAATCACCTCTGGGTTTTTTATTTTTTGCTAAAGAAACCAAAAACAACTGAAAATTTTGAAAAAAAAAAAAAAGTTTTTTCTTAGTTTTTGTTTTAAAATTTTGTAAATAAGTGATTTTTCTCCTTCACTGATATGCGCTAATGAGGCTTCAGTGATGGGCACTGATAGGTGGCACTGATGGGCACTGATGAGGAGGCACTGGTAGGTGGCACTGATGGGCATTGACAGGCATCACTGATGGGCACTGAAAGGCAGCGCTCATATATGGCACTGATAGGCGGCACTGTTAGGTGGCACTGACTGGCACTGTTAGGTGGCACTGATATGCAGCACTGACGGGCACTGATACTCGGCACTGATGCGCACTGATAGGCGGCACTGATTGGCACTGATAGGTGGCACTGATTGGCAGCATTGATAGGTGGCACTGACTGGCATTGATAGGTGGCACTGACTGGCACTGATAGGTGACACTGAAAGGCAGCTCAGATGGGCACTGATATGTGGCATTGATATGCACTGGTAGGCACTGATATGTGGCACTGATGGGCACTGGCACGTGGCACTGATGAGCACCGACAGCTGGCATTGATGGGCACTGACAAGTAACACTGCTGGGGCTACACTGATCGTCAGTGCCCTGATGATCAGTGTAGATGTCCCCTCCGAGAAATGCTGATTACCGGCTCTCCTCTCCTCTTGAGCTGTCAGCATGACAGCTCGTGAGAAGAGAAATGCCGATAACCGGCATTTCCCTATTTACATGCGATCAGCTGTGATTGGACACAGCTGATCACATGACTGAGCTGAAATCTTCGGCTCTTTCTGTTGATCGGTGATCCGCTGTGTCGGAGGGACACAGCGCAACACCGATCGCCGCGCTGCGCGCTCCAGGAGTCGCACATATGCGGTTAGAATGGGAGGAAGTCATATGACGTCCTCCCAGAACGAGAGAACCACCTTACGCCCATCATTGCACGATATGGCGGGCGGGAGGCAGTTAAACAAAGCTTCAGGCATTTTCTTTCATACAAAACGGACTGGAGTGCTTGTAAAAAAAAATCAAAAATCACCTCTGCTTGTAGTATCCCTGGCCAAAAGTTTTGAGAATGACACAAATATTAATTGACCTGCAAAGAAACACGTGTAGTCATCATTGCTTTGTACAAAAAGGGATTCACAGGCAAGGATATTGCTGCTACTAAGATTGAACCTAAATCAACCATTTATCGGATCATCAAGAACTTCAAGTAGAGACGTTCAATTGTTGTGAAGAAGGCTTCAGGGTGCCCAAGAAAGTCCAGCATGGTGTCAAGGAGGGCAGCAAAGCCACTTCTCAGCTGGAAAAACATCAGGAACAGACTGATATTCTGCAAAAGGTACAGATTGGACAGCTGAGGACTGGGGTAAAGTCATTTTCATTGATGAATCCCCTTTCCAATTGTTTGGGGCATCCGAAAAAAAAAACCTTGCCCGGAGACTAAAAGGTGAGCGTTACCATCAGTCCCGTGTCATGCCAACAGTAAAGCATCCTGGGACCATTTATGTGTAAGGTTGATTCTCAACCAAGGGAGTGGGCTCACTCACAATTGTGCCTAAGAACACAGTCATGAATAAAGAATGGTACAAAAGCATCCTCTGAGAGCAACTTCTCCCAACCATCCAAGAACAGTTTGTTGATGAACAATGCCTTTTCTAGCTTGATGAAGCACCTTGCCATAAGCAAAAGTAATAACTAAGTGGCTTGGGGAACAAAACATTGGGTCCATGGCTAGGAAACTCCCCAAACCCTAATCCCATTGAGAACTTGTGGTCAAATCTCAAGAGGTGGGTGAGCAAAAACAAATCCCACAAATTCTGACAAACTGCAAGTATTGATTATGCAATAATAGGCTGCCATCAATCAGGAAGTTGACTGACAGCATGCCATGGTGAATTGCAGAGGTCTTGAAAAAGAATGGTGAACATTGCAAATAATGACTGTTTGCATAAACTTAATATAATTGTCAATAAAAGCCTTTGACACTTATGAAATGCTTGTAATTATACTTCAGTATACTATAGTAACATCTGACAAAAAGATCTTAAAACACTGAAGCAGCAGACTTTGTGAAAATAATATTTGTGTCATTCTCATAATTTTTGGTCCAGGTTGTATAGTACCCTGCAGAACATATTCTCCTCCATATGATGTCCTTAGGTGTCATTCAACCTAGAAAACTGAGGACATTAGCCTCATTCATACGTGTTTGCCTGCACGGGATGTACAGGTTTTTCATGCATCTCCATGCAGGAAGTCTTATACATTTCAATTGGGATGCATCAGCTGCACAGACACAGCCACTGCTTCCAATTTGAGAGCTGCGCGGATGTGTGTTTATGACAGTGTACCCGCACTCGTGTGGCTGTCAAATTGGCAGCAGCAGCTTCTGTCTCCGTACAGCTGCTGCATACCAATTGACATGAATGGGACTGTCTGCATGGAATTGCATGGAACATCTGTGCATCCTCATGCAGACAAACATAGCCTTCACACGGGTATATGCTATAGTACACCTGTAAAAATGAGGCCATACTGTGAGTGCAGGGCATTATGGATCCACCCCTCTGGAGGGCCATGAACACTGTACCCTGCACTTAGTGTGTAATTATGTAGAGAATGGCACTGATGTCATCATGTCACTGATGCCCTCTCTCCATCCACTGTTACAGAAAAGCAAAGAGGAAGAAGACCTTCCACGTCACATGACCAGCTTAAAAACTTTTGGAAAAAGTAAGGCAGGCCAAACATGGGTCGAATTCTGAACAAATTTTCCTTAGAAAATCGGAAATTTTGTGCATTTTGTAATTCAATGGTGCTATCATTGATTGCTAAATTCAACCAACCAAGCCTTCAATTTCACCTCAAGTTGTAACAGATATGAATTTCATGGCTGGGAATCTTCATTTCTTTCCAGGTGAAAGCTCATTTCTTTTTCGATTATATTTCTCATACAATTCTCCCATCAGTGATTAGAAATTCATTTGTTTTTCAAAAAATTTCCGTACATGCCCGATCACTCAAATTTGGTGGCTACATGATAATTGGCCAGTGCTGCCGTCCACTAACAGTGTGAAATTCGAATGAAAATTCTTAGTTACGATTTTGGAAAGAAAATTAGTTCAGAATTCGACCCATGTGCGGCCTGCATAAGTATTAAACAAAAGTATAAATTAAGTATTGGTGGAGCCTCCTGGGGGTGTTCTTGGTTTTCGGCTTTAGTGTTTCCAAAAGCACAATAATTGACAAGTATATATACTATTAGAGCTAGAGGCAGATCAAAAAGAAAAAATATTGTTGATCCTATTAAGTTAGATTGATTCAGTTACTGTTTCTGCCATAAAATAAAGTGCCATTATACCCATTGTTTCAGTTGTTGGTGGACTGCAGCAACATCGAACTTCTGTGGAGTTCTTACAGCTGTCCGCATTCCTAGTGGGGAAATTACCGGAAAAAGCCATTCTTGCCATGAAAGCCATGCTTCTGCAGTCAACAGAGCCTACAATCTCATACACGGTATTTTTGTGGAGGATGCACTGCAGATTGGGGAGCCTAGTTAGCCTGCAGCAGAGCCAAAGGTCTAATATGACCATAAAGAAGACAAATTGAGCTGAAAGGGATGCTGCTTACTTTATTCATCAAATTTAAGGGAAGTAAAGTGTTCCAAAATTGCCCATCAACTGCTCCAACCCTGTTTTCCCTCTTCATAAAATAATTACCCCCCAGCACATACTACAGAACAGCCCCAATAACTCCATCAAGGAAAGTAACAATGGGGTCTATTTATAAAGAAGATAATGTGACTTTTACAAACATTCTCTGGTAAAGACTCAAAGGGGGTTATTGACTAAAACTGGAGAGTCCAAAATCTAGTGCAGCTCTGCAAACCAATCAGCTTCCAGGTTTTATTTCCAAAGCTTAACTGAACAAGCTGTAGTTAAAAGCTCATTGGCTAGCCTGCACAGCTGCACCAGATTCTGAGTGCACCAGTTTTAGTAAATCTACTCCAATCACTTACATTAGAAAAGCAAATCAAAAGATCATCAGACACCAAGCCCCAATACCAAAGGTCCCTCTAGTATACATCTTAGAGTATATGCATTGTGAGCAGACATCTTCAGAAAGTCAGCAATCACAAAATTGGTCTACGTTAAATTTAGATAGCATCAAAACGCATTACAACATTTATTTTGAAAGGAGCATTGTAAACAGCAATTTGACCAACAAGTAAATTCTTCAGAATATAACCATAGTAATGGCTATATAATAGTAGTCCAGTCAGCAAAAAGATGAGGAGGATATCAGATACAAAGAAAGAAAAGAAAAGAAAGAAAAAGAAAGACCAGAAAGAGAAAGGACAACCTGGGACTCGCAAAGGAACAGACAAGTATTGAATCCACGGGTCCCAATTTTAGCCAGATTTCTTAGTGTTATTTTGGAGGATGCAGGTAAGTTTGTCGCTAACCACGATCCAGTTAAGCTTACTTTTAACATAGTCAAGTGCAGGGGCGGACTGACAACTCATGGGGCCCCCAGCAATAGGGGATCATGGGGCCCCTGTGTCCTTGCCCAAACTCAAAAAAGCCTATGAAAAAGGTACCAGAGGCATCTCATGGGGCCCCCTACTGATCCCAGGCCCTCGGGGCACCACTGTCTGCCTCCAATATTTTGCAATAGTGATTCTTGCTGCCAAAAGCCTATACATAATCAGATTAGTGGATTTTTGGGGTATCTCATCCAGAAGTTTCTGAAAGAGGGCAGCCTCTGGGTGTCTGCAGATATTCACTCCTCTCACTGAATAGATAAAGTTAAACATCCAAGTCTAAAATCTGGATACTATGGGACATTCCATCAGATATGGTGCATAGACCCCGTTTGTCTGCAACTCCGGAAATAAGTGGGAATTCCATATATTTACCAATATCACTGGGGACATGTATTTTATTTTGCTTGATCATGGCTGACCAGTGCATTAACCACCTCCTGTCCGGCCGTTGTATATAAACGGCCGGAAGGTGGCAGTGCAGGGTCGGGTGGCCATTTATAAACGGCCTCCCCGCACCCTGCTTGTGCACGCTCCCTGGGAGTGCGTAGCACCACGATCCGGTGCCCGCTGTGTCCTCTGGACACAGTGGAACACTGATCGTCGGACGTGACCTCTGTACGAGATCCCGATCATGTGATCACTCATTGGCCAATCAGTGATCACATGCAAAGTAGTAAGCAAGATGTCACTTGTGACATCATTGCTTACTACGTGTGAAATCTGTGAATATTCACAGAGGTCACATGGTACAAGGCTATTCACAACAGCCTTGTACCATGTGACAAGCTGTGACCAATCACAGCTCACTCAATAGTTCTCAATGGTTGCAAGAATGCAGCTAGAGAGGAGAAATGATTGCTTTTACTTCCTTTATGGGTGTAAAAGCAATCAGTGTAAAAAAAAAAAAAAATCTTCATCACCTCTCACAAGTAGTACAGTGTCACCATGGTGACACTGTACTGCTAGGGTGACAGTATGTAAAAAAAAATAATAATAAAAAAAAATAAAAAAAAAAAATGTAAAACAAATGTTTAAAAATCATAATTTTGGTTATAAACTAATTTGGGTTGTTTTTTTTTTACTAAAAATATAACGGAATAAATTTTGGCCAAGATTTATGATGAAATACTATTTATTTGCAAAATTTTATAAGAAAAACACTTTTTTTCAAAATTTTTGGACTTTTAATTTACATAGCAAAAAAACTAAAAATCCCAGTGGTGAATAAATACCACCAAAATAAAGCTTTATCTGTCTCAAAAAAATGCTAAAAAAAATTCATATGGGTACAGTTTTGCATGACTGCGCAATTGTCATTCAAAGTGTGATAGCTGAAAGCTGAAACTTGGCC